CTGAGAGACAAGCATAAATGCGGCCCATCGATCTGGCAGGACGCTGGCGAGCGTGTAGCCAGGCAATCTGGCAGCACTGGAAAGCAAATGAAGGCACATGCTGGGAGACAAGTAAATGAGGGTTTCCGTAAAACACTGAGAAAAAAAAGCGGCGATCCCTCCGCTTCCGCGCCGCTTCCGCGGCGCAAAGCGTACCTTCTGCAGCATCCATAGCTGCGAATGCTCTTCATCTGCTCTGGTCAGCTGTTGAAATTGCGATTGGTTATTCAGCAGATCCAGACCAAGGCATCTCCGTAGAAAATCTCGAGAACATTCCGGGAAAGGCTCTTGGTTCCAGTTCGCGGGCTACGCCAGCGATATGGGCATCGTTTGGGCATCGTTCGGGGCATCGTTCAAACCAAACCGTTTTCTTGTCCAGGCATGGTCAGTTTGATTTGTACGGCAGGCCATCAAACAAGAAGAAATACGGCCGCGCCGTGTTTGGTTGACTTCCCTTTGCTGAAATCCTTGAAAAACACAGTGGTTTTCGACTTCCTTGTCCACCTTCTTCGAGTGAATTGCAAAGGCATGAGGAATGAGAAATGCAGGGGAAATGAAGGGGAATGAAGCCTCTGCGCAAGCAACGCAGTCAGGAACGGCTGTTTTATCCTCAGGCAGGCGGAACTTAGTCACTATCTGAAGAAGTTGTCGAACTGGAGGAAGCACTGGAAGAGCTCTCCGAGGTCTCTTTCAACTTGGTAGTCAACCGCTCGCTGTATCTTTTCCTAGCGCAGAGAAGCTTGCGGGCAGTTCGTCGCATGGCCTTCTCGGACGGGCTCTCCTTGGTGTTGCGCGCGGACACGTCGAGGCCGGCAGACTCATGGAACTTCATACGCTTCATGATCGTGTCAGAGGCACCTCTTTTCGGGACTTCTCGCTTCCACCTCTGGCTACCAAAATAGCCTCGTCGCCACACGCCAGGCTCCAACTCCACCTCCTCAGCCGTGCCCATGTGCCTAGACACGCCCCGTGCGTCAGAGGTCCGATCGCTCAAAACAAAGTCAAGAAACACCGGCTTCAGCCGATTCCGGGTCAGCTGGCGCATTTGCAGGCAGTATGTTTTCTTGATGTGAAACTCATATGTTGCCATGCGCCAAGAGCTCTCTGGTTTGCTGTCAGGACTCCAAAGATCCACCATATACCGTTTGTTTTTCGTTGTGGAATTATCCTTCGCAGCCGCTGCAGAGAACACCTTGTGCAACTGGTCCACGGTCTCGATGCGAGCTTTTCTGTCCTTCACATAGCTTGCAATCCAGGAGTTCACTTTGGAGAATAGCTGATCTACAGCTCCTTTCCCGTGCCCGGAAACACCAAGCGGACCCAACAAACATGCAACAAGGAAATTGCCAGCAAGTCACTGTGGAGACATGGCTGGGGCATGGAGGGTCACCACGTCACCTCCAGAAGCCGCAGTTTGGCGCTCAACTGGCATGCTCACGAGCTCCAGCGTTGGATCCTCTACAACCTGGAACTGATCAGACGGCAAGCACTGGAAGCACTTACATTTGCAGGGCTGCCAAACCAAACACACGCACACCCACACGCATACACGCAAGCAGGCACAGCGTTACCATGAGTGCAGCCCCAGCAACATCAGCGCGATCTGCAGCAAGCTTGGAACAGGCGCGCGAGTCTTTGGATGGGGCGGCGGCATCCCTTTGAGCAGGCTCTTTCTCATCATCCGCGTGAACCAACGTGCCTTTCAGTGACTTTACGCCCCGAGTAGAAAATTCCCAAGCAAGTTTGCCAGCCCCAGCACCTGCTTTGGTGAGCCATGCCCGGTGATAGGAAGCCACGGAACAAAACAGCTGCCTGTGCCCTTGGCAAGCTGCAGCGTCAACGATCCAGTGCAACAGCGCACCCCGCACGTGTTCGGCACCGGAGGATGATCCATGCTGCGTCACTGTTGTATCTGAGCCAACAGCACCTTTAACGGTAAAGAACATGCTGGGTTGGCTCCGTCTATTAAGCAACTTAACCAGGCACATCCTGCATACCAGCATGGCTTCAAAAAATGGTCACTGCCGGGTGCCTGCATATTCATCGCAGCCTCTTTGCAAGTGCCGTCAAATGAACACAAGCCCATGCGATGGCGCTTAAAGACGTTCCTCCAAACTGAAGGGGGGGTCTATCGAAAACCAGGCCCTGACAAGGGAACATCGCATCATACTCGAACACGTCCACGTGGCAGTGGCCTTTCCAAGTACCCCCTAGCCAGCTTGTCAATGGGACACGATCCAAAAACTGTCCCATTTGAAGAAGAGTATCGCTGCAATGCCCCATTAACCTGCTGCTCGCAGACAAACCGACAAGCAAACCGCGACACAAACACGAATTCCCGCATTGACACCGGCTCGCTGTGGAAGCACACACCTCTCAATGTGAGGATGACCGTTATCAAACCCAACCAAACACACACACACACACACTCATACACGGCAACCCAACTAGCAATCAAGTGCCTGCAAGCCACTAATCTCTTCCCCCTATTCATAAATACGCCCCCCCCCCTATTATAAATAAATCCTCCCAAAAATGTTTTTCTTTTTTAAATTGGGGTTTTTGGGGTTGGGTTTTTTGCTTTTCCAACAATGTGAGGGTTCACATAGGATTTGGAGGAAATGGATTGAATTGTAAGCTCCGCGAGTAAGCGGTTTAATAATTCATGCTGCGCTCGCAAGGTCTTTCAGTACAAGTCGGGTTGAAACAAAAACCCCGTGGCCAACCCTTAGATCCTTATGCCCTAGTATCCGGTCTGTATCGGTTTGCAGTGTTTTGGCAGCTCTAGCTCGAAAGTCGCGACTTTTGAGTACAACTGTAGTATACGAAGTACACTCTGGCAGCTCCAGTACGAAGTGCACTTTGGCAGCTCTGGCTCGAAAGTCGCAGCTTTTCAGCGCAAGTCAGTGTAGTATAGTGTAGTATACAAAGTACATGTGGGCAGCTCCAGCTCGGAAGTCGCAACTTTTCAGTACAAACGAAGTACACAAAGTGCATTTTGGCAGCTCCATGGAAGGCTCCAGGGCAGCTGGCTGGATTCGGCATGGCAGCTAATGAGTTGGGTATCGGTTGAGCATCGGTTTGGGTATCGGTTTGGGCCCTGCAAATGTCTGATTCCGCAATCTTGGTTTGCGACAACAGCTTGGACCTGATGTGTGTCTTGATGGCTTCCGGGGGTTTCGTTTTTTCCTCTGTATCTGTTTACAATGGTTTGGGCCTGCAAAACAAGGGACGGCCCCTTACATAACGAAAAGGCGCGGGGTTTTTATTTCAGTACGCGGGGCTTTTATTTCAGAATCGCAAATTGTAGTACAAATGTAGTGCGCGAAGGCCACTTTCTCAGCTCCAGCTCGTTGATCTGGAACTTTGCATACACAGATGTAGTACGCGAGATGTACGCGAGGTGCACTTTCGGAGGTCCAGCTTGAGAATCGTAACTTTTCGGTACAAGCGTGAAACATGTTTAAAGGCAAGCTAATAGTTTGAAAGAACATAACAGATCGCAGCTTCCGCGCCGCTTCCGCGGAGCTTCCGCGGCCTGCGTTTCACTTACTTACCAACATAACCACCGCCACTAGCCACTAAAAAACGAATACAACTATTTACGGAAAGCCTCAAATACGCGCACTGGCGAGCATGCGGCCCGGCGATCTTGCAGCACCGGGAGACAAATGAAGGCACATACTTGGAGACAAGCAAGTGCGCACACTGGCGAGCATGCGGCCCGGCTATCTGCAGCACTGGGAAACGAATCAAGGCACATACTGGGCGCACACTGGCGAGCATGCGGCCCGGCGATCTGGTAGCACCGGGAGACAAATGAAGGGAGACAACCGAACCCAGGCCTGAAGCACAGATGAAGGGAGACAAGGGGAGACAAAGGGAGACAAGGCTGCAGGAACCCGTCCAAACGAACCCTGTTTGGGCACATATGAAGGGAGACAAGGGGAGACAAGGGAGACAGGGGAGACAGAGTGGCAAGGATCCGTCCATCGAACCCAGCCTGAGGCACAGAGTTTGGAGCAGATATGAAGGGAGACAAGGGGAGACAAAGGGAGAGGTGGGAGGGGAGACAAGGCGAAACAAGGGGAGACAAGGAAAGACGGGCACATATGAAGGGAGACAAGGGGAGACAAAGAGAGACAGAGCGGAAGGAACGAACCCGTCTATCCTAAAGGAATCAAGAAGCCCTACAATAAACTGTTCGGGGAACTATGACGACGGAAGAAGGAAAAAATTGTATTCTTCTGGGCTGTCCGTTTTCTGATCCCCCGCAAAAAGTTAATAATTTGTGATCCCCTTGACCCTTAAGGTAAAACATGACGACGGAAGAAAAAATGTGTGAAAGTATTCGATATGAATGACAAAGCAAGAACTGTCTTGTGTCTTGATATTATGCAGGACGTAACGATCGATTGGTGCCGCTTCACTATGAGCTGGAAAACAAACACCCATTCGTTGGATGCGGACAATGGGATTGCCATTGTGATCCTTCGATGCAGATGGCCCCCAAAACCCCAAAAGGGCGCCTGCCACGAAATGCACCAAACAGGATTTGTGGGCACTTGCTCAACGAAAATTTGGACCTCCCGTGGCTTCGATGTCCTTTTATTTTGTTTTCCTTAAACATCAACCCTAAAAAGATCTTCTGCCCTGCAGGCAGGTCACATGCTTGACCCGGGCCATAGAAGAGCGTTGAGCCATGTTCGTGTCTTTTTTGAGACCCTCTTTGCGGGTGGTGGGAAAGGGAAACCAAACGGCAAAACCACAAGCCTATCAGACACACCCATTAACCCATTTGAGTAGAACCTAAAGTCAGTAGGTATGGGCCGCTCAGTTCGTCTGAGAGAAACCAAACGCTTGATGAAGCACTAGCTGAGGATTGGCCTTGTTCTGGGTTTTCAAGGGAAACCACAAAGACAACTCGGTTGCGCCTTTTCTGGGCGCGATTTTGGCCCGGCCTGGTGTTGGTGGCCAAGCCTGGAGCGCAGGTGAAACCCAGGGCCCGTGGTAGGCTTAACACTATGTCTATGTTATTGCGGTGGTACCCTTTTTATCGGTTGAACGAAACCGAAAAGAGAAACCCCAGTATGAACTATGTAGATTCTGAAGAAGAAAACAAGTGAGGTCATGCAGTATGTGAATTTCGACCCTTGCGGGGTTTCCAGACGTGGAAGGATTCCCTTTGCCACCTCCGAGCCATCCCGTTCTCCCGTTTCTTCCGATGGCCCCTTTAAAGGGAACCTCCAAAAGTGGCAATTTTGATGGAAACCAGCAGTACAGTCATCAATGTTTTACGGGAAATCCAGCGACCCCGCAATAAGTGGCTTTGCTTCTCTATATCGTGCCGGAACCCCCGTCCGCCTTGGTGGTGGGTTTTACTCACCGAACACGTCACTGGGCACACAATAAATCTTGACCCATGGCCCGTGTCCTTTCAGCCAAACAAAAGCACCTTGGGAACCCAACGAATTTTGAGGCCCGCCGAAAATCTCGGCCCACCCCCCATTCCCATTCATTCCCATCCCCCAGTTTTTCCCTCGGCAGAGCTGTGGTCATCATCCCGAAACAGAAAACAGCCGAGGCATGGCTCAGATTGTCCACTTTCCCTTGCAGAAAGCTATCCCAGGGTTATCCCAGGGGGGGGTTTTCCCAAGAGATATCCTAAATAGTTACCAGGGGTATCCCAGGAACTACCACCTGAACATTACCTCCCAAAACGGCGGGTTTCCGAATAGTCTGGTGGAAAAAAGGTCGGGATGTTTAGATTGTCCACCTAAGCAAGTAGTGTTTTGGGGGTAGTGCACCTCTTGGAAAAAGCAAAAGAAACAACATGACCACCCAACATAATCATAATTGTCCTTGGTCCGGAAAAGGTCCCGCTTGAAACGGCCTTGAAAAAAAAAACCGTTTCGGGATGCGAATAAACATTTCATGTAGTGTGGAATGAAAGGTAAAAGTCTAGCTCTGCGCACGGTTCAAGCCACAAATCAAATTTGAGAAGATCCAAAATCGCAGGGGTTAACTTCAAAAAGAAAGGCTCCCGATCTGGGAAGGAACCGGCAGAAGTTTATCCGAGCGAAGAAAGCACTTTCCCGGTTGCAAAATGGGTCCAGATCACTTTTGTGTTCCGTGAAGAAAGCAGTTTCCGACAGACTCGGAGAAAAACTTTCTGGACAATAGAGTCCAAACAAACAAGAACTTTCCTACAAGCGGGAAAAAAATGTCCCCCTTAGGGGTTGTCTTAAAATTGGGGAACCCGAAAATGGTAAGGTGTTCCGTTTGGCTTCCCCTTAAAACCAACTGAAAGGGGTTTCCCTAAACACCGACACCCCCTTTTGAGTGCCATCGCATCCAACATCGCCGGCGCCGCGAGTGTTCCAGTGCCGCAATCCTCTCACCCATGCGCTCCTGCAAATGCGGAGCTGCGCGCGCAAACCATTTCGGTTGAACCGAAATCCGTGGAAAACTTGAGGGCTCCTTGGGGAGTTGCTCTTCCCCTTCTGTTACTCAAATGCTCAATGCGGTAAACACGCATCAGGCAACAGGTCGCGCCTTTCGATTTGGAAGGACCGGCCCGGAAATGCGTTCCCGGAAGCACAGTCAAGAACCTCCAAAACCATGCCATCCACCCCACCCCACCCCACTCCACTCCACTCCACTCCACTCCACTCCACTCCACTCCACTCCACTCCACTCCACTCCACTCCACTCCACTCCACTCCACTCCACTCCTCTCCACTCCACTCCACTCCACTCCACTCCACTCCACTCCACTCCACTCCACTCCACTCCACTCCACGCCACTCCACTCCACTCCACTCCACTCCACTCCACTCCACTCCACTCCACTCCCTCCACCTGCCCTGCCCTGCCCCCGCCCTGCTCCCGCCCCGCCCCCCCCTGTTCCCGCCCTCCCAGCCCTGCCCTGCGCAACTCCTGTCTCTCTGCCCCGCCCGCCCCCGCCCCGCCCTGCCCCCCTGCCCCGCCCCGCCCCGCCCTGCCCTGCCCTGCCCTGCCCTGCCCTGCCCTGCCCTGCCCTGCCCTGCCCTGCCCTGCCCTGCCCTGCCCTGCCCTGCCCTGCCCTCTGCCCGCCCTGCCCTCTGCCCGCCCTGCCCTCTGCCCGCCCTGCCCTGCCCCGCCCTGCCCTGCCCTGCCCTGCCCTGCCCTGCCCTGCCCTGCCCTGCCCTGCCCTGCCCTGCCCTGCCCTGCCCTGCCCTGCCCTGCCCCGCCCTGCCCTGCCCTGCCCTGCCCTGCCCTGCCCTGCCCTGCCCTGCCCTGCCCCTCCCTCCTCCCTCCCTCCTCCCTCCTCCCTCCCCCTCCTCCTCCCTCCCTCCCTCCCTCCTCCCTCCCTCCCTCCTCCTCCACCCACTCCACTCCATCCACTCCACTCCACTCCACCCACTCCACCCACCCACCTACCCACCCACCCACCCACCTACCCACCCACCCACCTACCCACCCACCTACCCACCCACCCACCTACCCACCCACCCACCTACCCACCTACCCACCTGCCTACCCACCCACCCACCCACCTACCCACCCACCCACCCACCCACCTACCCACCCACCCACCTACCCACCCACCCACCCACCCACTCACCCACCCACCCACCCACCCACCCACCCACCCACCCACCTCCACCCACCCACCCACCCACCTCCACCCACTCCACCCCACCCACCCACCCACCACCCACCACTCCTCCCTCCGCCCGCCTGCCTGCCCGCTCTCGCCCGCTCCGCTCCGCTCCGCTCCACTCCACTCCACTCCACTCCACTCCACTCCACTCCACTCCACTCCACTCCACTCCACTCCACTCCACTCCACTCCACTCCACTCCGCCTCCCCGCTTGCTCCTCCAAGGACTCTTGGTGCCGCTGCAGTGCACCCTGCACGTCCCGCGCCGTGGGCAGCCGGCCTGAGCGAGCCCGCGCAAAACCAGCGCCGGCGCTGTTAGTAGCCAAAGGCATAATACGTTCCTTTTTTGGGGGAAGTCCACCCGGGTGACCAGAACCGTTGAGCAAACTCGGTTCGCTCAGCAACCAATTAGCAAGCGGTGCTTTTGTGGATGAATGACCTAGCTGAATCTCCCAACTTCGGCCAAACATCCAAGATCGAGATAGGCCACAAGGACATCAACCGATCTGGAGGTGAACTAGAGCACCCTGGATGCCGCAAACAAACAAACAAAAACGCCAGCGGAGGGGCGGCACTTTACATGGCGCCGTCACGCACGCTCTCTTTGCGCGTACCGGAGCTAGATCAGCCCTTACGCTTGGACGAAATCCTCCTATCAACCTCTGTGCTAACATATCCAACGCAGCCAGCTTCTGTTTGAAAGTGGCCTTGGCACATGCCAGGCCAAAGGAAACCCATCAAGAAACACAATTGCGTCGGAAAGAAATCCGCACCCATCTGTCAAGGGGATTGCATGGGTTTCCCTCCTGCCCGACTCCAGCTCCCGAATCTCGCCCGAGACTGCGGCTCAGCTCTGTGGCCAGGCGCCGGCTCTCGCCTCAACTGGCACGGGTTGGAGGTGGAAAATTCCACTGCCCAAAAAATGGAAAGCAGCATGAAGCATGTACCATTTGACCATCCCCAGCCGTCTCCTCTAGGGAACCATCGTCCAAAACGATTAAGACACCTCCGTGTGCGTAACAATCTCTCACTTGCCCAAAGGACCTGGAAATAAAAGGTTAACCTGTTGGGACCTCTACTAAAAGTAGACCAAAATTGGAAAACCAAAAGGTCAAAAGGTCGTCTTTGAACAACTGAGATCAGTCAGAATACCCAACCAACAGTTCCAGTTAATGTCAACCCCGGATTAATAAACCCCTGGTTGATTAATAGGGGAGTGTCCCCGGATTCATCACTTTTGGAGAGAACACCCCCCTAATAATGGGACGGGTTTATTAATCCTGGGTCAACATTCGCACGCATTTGAAGATCTCAGTCGTGGAGTTGCTGGGACTTCCTGTCCGCTTTTCTTACCAAAAGGAGGTCCGTCCAATCGCAAAAAAACTCAAGAAAAGCAGCCGTCAGTGCCCCCCGCCAAGCCGAGACATGAGCCTTTAGATGCTCTTCTCGACAGCGTTTTTGCGGGGTGTCAGGTCACAACGCAAACAAACTTTAAAACAAACTTAAAAAACTGGGAGACTTTCCCATTGAAAAAAAAAATGAGTCTTCCAGTCTCCTCCTTTCCCCCCCCTTGTCAAGCCAAGGCCTCGCTTCCGGGCATGCAAGAAAAACACCCTGGATTTTTCGCTTGCCGGTCGGGCTTGTCCTTGCCGGGAAACTCTGGAGCTTCGTCATGCCCTGCCTCGCAGCGGAAGGGAAAAAACAACAAAAAACGGCGGTCGGCCCGAGACAAAACCCTTCAACCACCGTGCCACGTGCTCTGTTCTTTCTTCTTAGCAACTTCTCGTTGGACGCTCCGCTCCGGCGTCAACTGGCTGCCAGGAGATGAAACCCTTCAAAAAAAAACAGGAAAAGGGGCGGGTTTGTTGGGCCACTCTGGGATGAGATTTCACCAAATTGATGCGGAGAACCAAACTTTCGTCCATCAGCACCTCCCGAGCCCGAACTCGCGGCTTGGAAGAAGGCCGCTCCCGAGCCGAGCCCCGGAGCCGGAGCCATCTGGGGAAAGTCGCCCCCATGTTGCAGAGGTGACGGGTTTCAAAGCGGCTGGGACCCTGCTTTTTGTTGTGTGTGTGTGTGTGTTGTGGTTGTGTGTGCTGTGTGGTTGTGTGTGTGTGTTGTGTGGTTGTGTGGTTGTGTGTGTGTGTGTGTGTTGTGTGGTTGTGTGTGTGTGTGTGTGTTGTGTGGATTTCAAAGGAAACCTGAATGGAAACGGCTCGCCGGTCTAGCTGGGGAAACTCCGATCTGGCGATGGTTGATCCAGCATCTAAGGGGTCTTATGGAGTAAGGAAGTTGCGTTAGTCATGATCCTATTGAGGATGATGATTACTTAAGAAATGATAGTCAACAAAGACTATTGGATGATTGAGTGTGTATTGCTTATAAACTTAACTGCTTGTGTTTACATATTACCATGTGTTGTTTGGACAAGCAACTATGGCTTAGTCTGAACACGTGCTTAATAAGTTGATAAGTGGATATATAGTGCAAAGTGTGTTAGTCTTGTTGAATATTGTAGGGATTCAAATGATATTATAACAGGATTTAAATCCCTCAGTTTTGCTAGATGTCCAATATTTCCAGTAAATCACAATAATAAAAAGGGATACCCACCCCAAAAAAAAAACATGACACCACTAAGCCTGAAAAAAAGAAAACTTGGAGTTGATGTGGGGTGTTCCAGGAACACAACCCCGCTGTCAAAGATTGACCCGTTGCTTCCATTTGAGACTCTCCAAAAGAGGCCTGCCTATTCAGCGAAACGCCGCCATCTGATTGGTGTTCCTTTCGGTTGAGCGAGTTGCAACGAGATGTAATCAAACCTCTTTCAGTTCCGGGGCGCTTGCCCGCATTTGGCTGAGCCAAAAGGCCAATCCAAATTGGAGACGACTTTGGGTGGGCTCTCTTGGCCAAGGCAAGACAGGGGTCCTGTTCAGCTTCTCCGTGATTGGATGTTCGAAGCAAGTTTTCCGGGGCCAAGGCTAATGAATGTTCTCCTTGGTGGGCAACTCTGTTGGGAAGTCGGCACATCTGTCTCCCTCTCAAGGATCCATCCGCCCTCTTGAGCTCGGTTGCCTTCTGCTCCCCAGCTAAAAGTTTATCTTTTAGTGCTTTAATGGAAAACCCATTCGTTGGCAAAAAGTTAAAGTCCTAGCATCCTAGCAAAATGCACCTCTGTGAGTGTCTTTCTCTTTGCCAAACTCTCCACCCAGACCAACGCCTAAGCCATGTTGCCCGGAAACCACCTCTCAGCCCGTCCGTTGCCCCGCCTGAACTCCAGCGTTGGCCCCTGGCTTGCCAAGACATCCTCCACCTGCATCTGGCTCCCCCAAAAAGCCCCCAAGTAAGCATGGCTCGAGCTTGGGAGCTATGCAAATCCAGTGCTTGGAGCAGGTTCTGCCCGCACACGCCAAATGGCCATTTGGATCCATTTAGGCCTCAAAACAGTGACCCCGGCCACCCTGAACCCCCCCAAACCCACAAACCCACAAATGCTCAAACACCACCTACAAACTCAAACGCCGAAGGAAAAAAGAGCGAGTCAAGAAGCCGACCAAACCCCGCCTCACCCAAACCCGGCCAAAAACCCAGCGCCTTGCTCGCTCCGCTCATCCTCAACCGCACCGGCTCGAGCCGGCTCCGGCCTGGCGCCGACAGGAGGTCTCCAGCTGGTTGGCAACCTTCGCCTCGCGCGAACTTCGGATCCCCGGATCCACGGATCGGATCCACCGCGATCCACCGCGAAAAAAATCGCAAGCCTTACGAGGTGAAGCTTGGATCAAAAAGACGCAAACCAAATCAACGCGAATCAACGCGGATTCACGCGGATTAACGCAAATCAACCCTTAGGAAGGGTATGTAAGACCTCCATTCGTTTTTGATGCTTGAGAGGGGTATGAAGGTAAGACATCTCGTCGCTGGTGTCATTGCGGTACAAGTTTCCCTCGGTTCCCCTTGCACTATTTGGGGCATCCAGCCTACTTGAACGTCTCCTAAGCCTGGGTGCAGTCAATGCGTCAATCGTTGGAACGGGGCGACCCATTGGGAAATTCGTACTGGGCTTGCCTCAACCGAAACACGGCCATGGCCTCCTTTTCGCCTTCAGCTTTTTTCTTCTCTTCTCGTTTTCGCTTCCCAAGCTGGGTTTCTGGGGGGTCGCACCTAACCGCTGAGTCTCCGGAAATCCCCCCCCCCAAAAAAATAAAACGCGCTGCAAGAACACTTTTGCTGCACCCCTCCCCCCTCCAGCCGCCTCCAGCTGGCTGAGGCCCCGCTGCGAGGAGTCCACCTCGCGATGGACTCATCAAAAAAATTTGGCTGGCTGCAAATGGAAATGAAGCCACTGAGGGCCCTGATGTTTGAGTTGCGGATGAAATCACCGGGCACGGATAGCCCCTTTTTGGCCGAAGAAGGAAAATAGCCTGCAGTTAGTTGAGTGGAGGGAACCTGCCATGTTTGGGAAAGGTTTCTGAGCTGAACGCACGTGACAAGCAGGGCCTGTGAGCCCCGTTGTGGCGAAAGTGTCGCGGGCCTGTGCTCGGTTCTCATCCATCCGACTCCTTTGGTTCTTAGGTTAGCTTCTTCGCTTGGCGTGGTCTCCCCGCCACGATTCTTTACCGCTTCGGCTTTTCGGGGATAGGGAAGCAGCCCAGTCAGATCCCCGAGCCATGTCGGGCTTCACAGACACTCAATATAAACCTAAAACACATCGAACCACTTCACGTCTCTGAGACCTCCGGAACAACAGGCGCCAGGCGGCAGCGCGCAATTGGCACAGCTCCGCCCTCAAGGCGATGGGGCGGCGAGCGAGGGCTTCACTCGAACCGGAAAAGAATGAGAGAACTCCGCTCGGGACGTGGACAGATGTACACTCACCACGCCCCAGAAGCTCTTCGGGCAACGAAAAAGGCCAAGGGCTCGAAACCGGGTGAAACGCCCCTTCAAGCGTGGTGCGGACCGGCTGCCCTCTCCCGGCATTTCTTGGGTGGTGCTTTGGGTGTGGTTTCTGAGCCCCAAAAAGTCGGGCCCCGGGGCCTCGAAACCTCCCGCTCCAAGCGCCCAACTCCAGGTCCCCTCGCTTGGCCTGAGCCATTCGGCTGGGAGCAAGTGGTCGTTTCCCGGGCGGTGCCGGGGAGCGAGTTGCAAGATGTGGAACAACAAACACCTAGCATTTAGTTTGTGGCTTCCAGTTTTTGAAAGGAGGGGAAACCCAAAGGAGGTGATCTTCTGCAATAATTGGCTGAAATGCTTTTTAACAAGGCGTTGGACCAGCCCTTTCGAAACCCCGCATGTAATTGATCCCCTCTCTCGCAATTCAGTGGCTTTCAGAACTATTTGAACAGGTGCGCCAGGGATTTCATAGGGAAAAATGAGACGCGAGACATCAATTTGGACCAAATCCTGCGCTGGCAGCACCCCAGTTATCTTGACTCTCGGAATTCCAATTGACGTGTGGTGGGCATCGAATCAGTACCATGCACATGTCCAGCCACCTTTCTCCCGAAATATTTCCGGAAACAGCATCCAAGCCGAACCTCAGATGCTGATTCTTGAATTGGTGTCCCATTCACCAAGACAAACGCCATGGGGTGTCAAATCCCCCCAATCCAAACCAGCCATATTGATTTGGGTTTCCTGAGTGAGTCACAGTCAAAACTCGGCATTAAAACGGCCGAACCATGCTTCAAGGCGGAAAGAAATCCGCACCCATTTTGTGTCAAGGGCATTGGATTTCTTACCATCCAACTGCCCGTCATTGTCACCTGTGGGTGTTTCAGGCCCAGTTCGATCGCCTCCTCGCCAAAGGCTAAACCGGCACAGCCTGGGCTCACGCACGGACGTGTTCCAGTTCTCTGTCTACCGACGTGCATTTCGACATCCGAGCATTTCGACGCTTGGCGAAGCCAGCGATCATTTACCACAGTTGGCCTAATGCTAAGACGAGGGGAAACACTGACTTTGACAAGCCCAGAAGCAGAGCCAGAAATCATACTGGGGATGGACGAAATCCTGCACCACCTAAGAAGCCTGGAATGAGGATTCCCCTGTAAACACCAACAAAAAATGGTTTCCTATGGTTTCAAAGTGGTGCAGGATTTCGTCCATCCACTTTATGACCCGGCGCCAACCAAAAAAAACGTGTCTCGAATGCAGCTGGGCCCCAGGCTGCTCAAGCGGAGCATGGCTCAACTGGTTTGCTCAGCCGCATGGCGCGCAGCGACTCAGAATCCTGGAATGGGTATGGCTTAGGGTACCCTCTCCAATGGATCTAAAGAGAAACAAAAAAAAACTTTGGCATGCCCCTATTTTGAGCTTCACGGAAAGAAAAAACCAAAGACATGCTACCAAAAATGTCCTGCGTGTATTTGTTGTGGGGTTCCTTGGAAGGAGTTCAGACGCTCAGCTGGCACTCGATTTACTGTTTCCATAATGTGCCCAACTTAGCTGAAACAGCTGCCACAGCGATCCATGACAGGCCGTACGCTAAAGGCCGCGTCGCTGGAAATTGCCCCGACAAACTATGCAAACCAAAAAGCCGGCAAAGGCATACGCACAGCGTCAAAAGAAGCTTAACCAGAACTCCCATGTAGTTCTCGGAAACACACACTAGTTCCTACACATGTGGCGCGCAGGAAAAAAAACTGCGGCACGCACGGCCTTTGTCCTTGGGCTGCTCGAGGGCCTTTTTGCTCCGATCATAACTGGATAGAAAAACTACGTAGCTTCGATCATGAATGCTACAAGTGGAAAAAAAATATATGACCATGGTCCCAACGACTGCAATCAGCAGCGAATTGGACCAAGTCAGGACCGTGTCATCCACCATCAGTGAGGCGCTGGGCTTGCTTGAAACTTACTGGAGAAGCATATGGGATCGCCCCCTGCAGTGGCGGGCCCACCTCCCAGAAATTCTTGCTGATACCCCTTCTTTCCCTGAGATGCCATGGGAACCAATTACTGCCAACCATCTTGCAAAAGTTGCGAAATAATTTCGTGGTAAAGCGGCCAGCGTTGACAGCTGGGGCGGCACTGAGATTGCACACCTTCCGTTGTGTGTCTTTGATGCCGCAGCAGATGTCTTTGCCCTCTTTGAACAAAAAGCAAAGGTCCCTTACCGATGGACTCTGGCAAAGCAATGCCACCTCCCGAAATCTGATGCAAATGAAGATGGAAGCCTACCCGTAGGTAAACTAAGACCTATCACTGAGCACATCGGTTTTATGGAAGTGCCCGACTTCGCTCCACGGCCAGTGCACGGGCCGAAGGGTGGCCGAGCCAGGCAAGGGGGCAAACGTGGCACTGGCGTTCACGAAGCGTTGCTCGACTTAGCTGATGCATCGCAGGATGGATACTTGCTGAGTCTAGACTACTGGCCTTCGACCAGCTTGACCCTTGCCTCTCTGCCACGGCCATCGCCGCCCAACGTGGCTCTGGTCTTCATGGAGCCTTCCGCAAGGTGGCCCCTGGTCTCTCCTTGGCAATTTATGAGGCGCTCACACCGCTCAGAACGTACAGGCTAGGCACCGTGCGACCATCCGCACCTTTGTGGATGATAGCCCTGATATACTGCAAATCAAGGCTGGGACGCTTCGCAAAAACTTGGACTTCGTGAATTGATAAAATCTGCTACCACCAGACTCCGGACAGAGGCCAACTTGCTGCTGGGCTAGCGGACAAGGTTTCGGATGACCCCAAGATGTTGGGATTACATAGAGGAACCCACACCAGGACAAACACGCGAAAGCAAGCGTCTTAAGCAGGCCCCACGACTTACGCGCGTGGTGATCTTGTCTCAGGTACTTGGTAAAGCCTCGTGGGGATGGCTGCTTCGGCTTCCCCCTCTCGACGGCATGCTCCGTCTCGACCGTGCCATCAGCTACGCGCTGCATGAAGGCAATATGGCAAGTGTGCCGCTCCGGGCAATGCTTTGAGGGCACTTTCTTGACACTCATTTCTGAAAAGTTAGTGCTAACTTCAGGATAGCTGCTCGGCAAATCACACGTGGCCACGCGCTGCGGGTTTGTTCATCCATCGCTAAGGCGCGCAACAAAGGATTGAAGAAACATGGCTGGGGAATATATGGCGTGAATACCGAATAGAGAACAGGCGTGATGCTGCCTTGTGCCGCCATATGGCATACGATCCCCATAGGATCAAGCTGGTCAGGCGCAGCTTCCAGCACTTTCAGGGTATGAGTGGTGCCACAGTGTCTCCCGCTGCGGTGGGGCAGACTCAGTGAATGTTCCCACCCTTGAGCACTTGGGAATGTGAGGCTAATGCTGGCGACCGCGTGCGCTCATGAAATCTTGACCTTGGTATCCCTGCAAGGCTGGCATGGCCTTCTGGCCACAGGAGTCATGATGCTTTGTACACTTGGCATACGTGAGACAAAGCATTCACGCAAGATACGCACGGCGTCGCCGTGCAGGTGAGGGGCGGCTGTTACAGCTGTCCACTGTTTTACTTAGGCTGGATCCGCATAGATCCGGGCGACATGCCGTGCTATGTGGCGGTCGTCCGCTTCAACAATGATAACAAGGGCCTTTTTGCCAACCCTTTTTGCCAACTGGGCGGCGCACGGCGGCGCACTAGCGGGTTGTGGCCAAAGAGGATAAGCCCTACGTGACTCATGCACGCTTGGGAAGCAACGGATAAGAATTCAGCAAGCTCTATGCGAAGCACGGGCTCATGAATGCGGAGGGCATTGCGGGGCACGGCAAGCTCATAAAGAAAGGGTGGGCAGGGCGGGTTTCAAGACCGAAAAGGCCTGGATGTTAGAATGCAAAAACAAAAACAAAAACAAGAACAACAAGAACAACAAGAACAACAAGAACAACAAGAACAACAAGAACACGAACAACAAGAACAACAAGAACAACAAGAACAACAAGAACAACAAGAACAACAAGAACACCAAGAACAACAAGAACAACAAGAACACCAAGAACACCAAGAACACCAAGAACACCAAGAACACCAAGAACATCGAGAACACCAAGAACACCAAGAACACCAAGAACAATAAGAACACCAAGAACACCGAGAACACCAAGAACACCAAGACCACCAAGACCACCCAAGACCACCCAAGACCACCCAAGACCACCCAAGACCACCCAAGACCACCCAAGACCACCCAAGACCACCCAAGACCACCCAAGACCACCCAAGACCACCCAAGACCACCCAAGCTCGCTCACTCACTCCACTCCACTCCACTCCACTCCACTCCACTCCACTCCACTCCACTCCACTCCACTCCACTCCACTCCACTCCACTCCACTCCACTCCAACTCCACTCCACTCCACTCCACTCCACTCCACTCCACTCCACTCCACTCCACTCCACTCCACTCCACTCCACTCCACTCCACTCCACTCCACTCCACTCCACCTCACTCCACTCCACACTCCACCTCACTCCACCTCACTCCACCTCACTCCACCTCACTCCACCTCACTCCACCTCACTCCACCTCACTCCACCTCACTCCACCTCACTCCACCTCACTCCACCTCACCTCACCTCACCTCACCTCACCTCACCTCACCTCTCCTCACCTCTCCTCACCTCTCCTCACCTCTCCTCACCTCTCCTCACCTCACCACACCTCACCACACCTCACCACACCTCACCACACCTCACCACACCTCACCACACCACACCACACCACACCACACCACACCACACCACACCTCACCACACCTCACCACACCTCACCACACCTCACCTCACCTCACCTCACCTCACCTCACCTCACCTCACCTCACCTCACCTCACCTCGCCTCGCCTCGCCTCGCCTCGCCTCGCCTCGCCTCGCGCCTCGCCTCGCCTCGCCTCGCCTCGCCTCGCCTCGCCTCGCCTCGCCTCGCCTCGCCTCGCCTCGCCTCCTCGCCTCGCCTCGCCTCGCCTCGCCTCGCCTCGCCTCGCCTCGCCTCGCCTCGCCTCGCCTCGCCTCGCCTCGCCTCGCCTCGCCTCGCCTCGCCTCGCCTCGCCTCACCTCGCCTCGCCTCGCCTCGCCTCGCCTCGCCTCACCTCACCTCACCTCACCTCACCTCACCTCACCTCACCTCACCTCACCTCACCTCACCTCACCTCACCTCACCTCACCTCACCTCACCCCACTCCACTCCACTCCACTCCACTCCACTCCACTCCACTCCACTCCACTCCACTCCACTCCACTCCACTCCACTCCACTCCACTCCACTCCACTCCACACTCCACTCCACTCCACTCCACTCCACTCCACTCCACTCCACTCTCCACTCCACTCCACTCCACTCCACTCCACTCCACTCCACTCCACTCCACTCCACTCCACTCCACTCCACTCCACTCCACTCCACTCCACTCCACTCCACTCCACTCCACTCACTCACTCACTCACTCACTCACTCACTCACTCACTCACTCACTCACTCACTCACATCACTCACCTCACTCACTCAGCGGCCCTGCTCAGCTACTACACCATCGTGCAGGTGCCCGGAGCCTGGGATGTTCAATGAAGTCCAGTTCCTATATGGACTCTGACGCGCGTCTGGACCTAACGCAGACGCCCAACTCGAAACATCTCATCTCCACTCAACCCACTTTCATGAACTTCTAGCACGCGTGCCTCGTGGGCTGCATAACCAGCAATGGCTCTTGTTGGCCGCGCTGCCTCGGATTCCTCGTAAGAACCAGAATCAGCTCAGGCGCCGCATGGGCAACATTCTCAATCGGTGAAAGCCTCCTAAGCGCACCTCACACAGCCGAAGCATTTGACGATCGCCTCGTGGGCACGTCATTGTTGTTCTTAGAGTGATAATCAACGGCCGCATGGGGCTAGGGCACCCCTCCTCGGTTCACTCCGTCTCGTGGACGATGAGTGACCGGATGAGTCACTGAGCTTGTAGCTCATGTTTTGTCGCAGTCCAGTATTACTGGATACTGCATCAGCTTGGCTCAACAGCCATTCGTCCGTCGCGACGCTTGGTCGCTCCGGATCTGACAATCAAAACAATGGGGTCCGTCATGGCCTCCACGAAGAAGAACGTCCTCAGAGCAAGCCTGAGGACGGGGTTTTCAAACAGAAACAGGATACCGAGCCGCACCTTTTTTCGGCTGAACCGTGTGGAAAGTGCCCAAAAATGGCTTTCCAGCAGCACAAGCAGGGCAAACAAACAAGGAAAACCCTGGGACAAAAGCAAGGGGAGGCCCGGAACCCCAAAACCAACCAAACCAAACCAGAGAACACAAACAAAGCAAACGCAAACGAAAACACGGCGGTTCCCGAAGTAGGGCGCCAGGGCAGGCGCCCTCCCCACTCCCCCCGCGGCGCACGGAGGTTTTGTCGCTGTGGCAGTGGGTGAATCGCCGGTGTCGAAAGAACTTGAGCCAAAACCGCGCGTTGCGGCATAATTAAAACGCGCGCGCAAAATCACAGAGTGAAAGGGTTTCCAGCACCCAGCCACAAATGGATTGCGCCAAACGCTTGAAGGCACCGTCCCTCCAAGTCGACAAAGCACGTTGCCGTGAGACCCTGGGCGCGAACAAGTCGCTGGCGGCTGAACTGCTGGACAGTGCTAAATCACCGCAAAACCACAGACTGGACCAACATGGCCAATAAAACATTCAGACCCTGCAGATCCTGCAAAGAACGCTGCGTACTGCGGTGAGGCTGAAAAGGGCACTTGAGGGGGGAAGAACGGGGCCTCCTCGGTTCGCGTTTTGGCTCTCAGAAATGTGTTTTATCAACATGCTTCTGTGGTTTGATGGGTGGCTGTTCCAAACGCAGCTCCACATACAACGCACGGGTGGGAAATCTCACTCGGATTCGCTGTTTCACCGAGGTCCTTGAAGCATCCCCTTTTAGCCCCCTAAACAGCTCTGCGCTCGTGTTTGTTGCATGTCCACAAAGCTTGACGCAGAATTACGAGTGAGTCATTGCTGATGAGTGCCATTGCGTCAACATCCATCACAATCGATCCGAACCCCTTCTTGATGGCTTCAAGCTTCGCACAGTTTGTCGATTTGTGAAGAACCATTGCCACTGGTTGCGTCAACAAACTCTCGCTATGCCTGCGACAACCCACAGCCGAAACCTGGCCGAATACAAGCTCTTCAAAAGTCGTGGGGTTCCGCGTTACTGACGAAGTGGTGGGTGCTTCTAATTGTCGCTTCTGACGGCGAAACCCTTTGTCTCTTGTGATGCTCTTGATGTAAAACAAAATAGTCCAATTCTGCTTCAAGGGCTACAGAGTTCTGGGCGTAGAGATTCGAACGAGTGCGTCTGCCACAAAATGCTGCACTGGCAAGCATATTTGTTTCGGAGCGCGCATAAGAAACATCGAAAGGCACTGCACAGAAGGCAGTTGACCTGTGAGACGTATGGACCCATGCATTGTCTGGGAACTGGCAACACTTCGTCTGGATCAGCCGTCTTCCGGGAGGTATTGCAAGAGCTGAGACCATGAACCAAGCCATTCAGTTGCCACACTCCCAGTGATGATGCCAATATCAACATTGGGCAGCACCGTCGAGGATGCCGTGGCCTCACTGGGTGCAGCAGGTATAAAAAGCAACACCGTAACTCTCCAGCCAGAAAGGCAACCGTTCTCGACGAGTTGGCGGATTTGAGCTTGCTTTCCGGACATCTTCTTTTTGGCCTTCTTCTTCGTGCCACCACAGTCAAGCAGCACTAGCCATCCGGGAGCTGCACAAAACCAAATGTCCGCGAGCGGGTGGGCCTCCGTGCCATCCAACCCATCGTAGTACAGCATATTGCATTTCATGCTTTCAAGCGCACAAGCCAATTGAAGTTCTGAACCTGTTGCAGACACTTTCTCGAAAAGCCTCCCTGGCTCGAGCTGCTCAAAGCACAGCCTAATCGTGGTGCAATCGGGTAGGGGCAGATAGTCCCTGCATGTTAAGGCACATAAAACTGCGCGCTCCAGAGGTGATCCACCCAACAGTTGGGTGGAGGCCTTCCTCATGTCTCTCAAAAACCAGTCGCGGGAGCTCCGAAAGCCTGACGCGCTCGGGCCCAGTGGCAGGCGAAGCACCCGGTTCAATGGCAAGCCCAGGCGCTGCACGTCAATAGAAACCAATGTTGGCAATGCCTCAGTCTGAGGTTCGTCTCTATCCACGATGCCAGCTGCCAGGTCTCTAACCATCTGGCCATCTAGCTGTTTGCTGCCCCGACGGCAGCCTGAAAAGATTTTGACAAACTTTTCAGCGAATCTGGCAAGGAATTGGCTTTTTGAGATCTTTTTGCCCTTACGGCGTACCCATTCGTTCAGCGACGAAAACCCTTTTCTGAGTTGAGATTCTGGTTGGTGCAATGTTACTGCTGAATCGACATCAATGCAGAGACCAACCCAGAACAAGCAACAGGCCCACACCCTCTGTTCGGCAGCTGTCCAGTCCACAGGCTTCCCATAAATGTCGAGAATGCCTGGACAAAAATGTAGCACAACCTTGTCTGCTGCTGCCCTCGGGAACGGCAAGGCAACTCGAGCCAAACCTGACGTAATTCTGGCAACATCCGGCGGCAAGCTTGGCGGCTCTGTGAATGTGAGCAGCACTCTCACAAAGTCGACTGATAGCAGGGCTTGCACCGCAGCATAGCGAAACAGTGTGGCGCGGACATCTTCGCCTTCCCACATCTTCTTGTGCTCATCCAAGTGTATCAAGACAAGTTTTTGCTGTGGCCTGATTTCCTGTAGCAAATCCTTGATCTGATCACGCAGCCTGTCAATGGGACCAGCAGTAACATCAGTGATTGACGTAAACCATTCCGGTGGCGGATTAGGTCTTACGTATTCTCCCTTTTCCAGCAATCCCATATAAACGCTACTCCAGCTAGGTCCGGGTTTGTCTTCTGGCTGCGCATTGTCTCAATCATTGGCATGCTGGGTCCCGCATGGCGCCGCTCTGCATTGTTGTAGAAGCTCATGTACAGGTACAGCCCAAGATCGTCATTTGCGAGAAACGCTGGCAAAACACTGCTGGTCTTGCCATACGCCCCGGGAGCTGACAAGTAAGGAGCCACAAAGCAGCTCGTCGTCCCTGGCACTTTCACAAGGAGACTGCCCAGTTTCTGCACGTGCGCCTCATTGCCGAAGTAGAGCAACTCGAAGAGAGGCAATGGCTTGTTATCCACTTCCCGAACCGGTAGGGTGCGCTTGTACGTATCCCAGTTCTGCAGCATGGAGATATTGCCGTTCTGCATAACAGCATCAAACTTGGCCTTTAGTGCATCCCGCACCCAAGAGGTGGCTGAGTACCCAGCTGGCAATGCCTAGCACATGAAACCAGGCATGGGGAACTTCCAACAGCCAGGGTCCGTAAATCCTACGACACTACTTGTTCGATGGCTCTGGAAATCGCATATTGCCTAACGGGAAATGACTGGAACAACTAGCCTCGGACATCTGAAAGAGCAAAACAATGCCTAACAAATGATCTTCGGCTGCGGAAAACCTATCCCGCTAACGCTTGTGGCCCAGCTTCCCCTAACACTAGAAGGGCAAGAAATGGCAGGAAACAGAAACCAAAACAAAACCCATCCAGCAGGAACACTGCATACCATGCCCATGGAGGCAAAGCTGGGGATGCGTAGCTGAACTCAACCATCCGTTTCATGGCGCCAGCGCAATGTTCGGATTTCCTGGTTCTGTGGATGTGATCAGGGCAGCCCCCCCACAGACAACATTTCTGTAGGGCTGGGGAAAATCAAAAGCACACACAAAGACCAACTGCACGTCTCAAAGAATGTTGGCCGGCAGAAGCGAACGACCTCCCCGAATGGCAAGGAAGGGCAACATTCGATTCATGGGTCTCCACACTGATTCGTTTCACCAACAATGCAGCCAGTTGAAATCTATGAAAACTAGAAGCGCTTTGCTCTGCACAACTGCAATTTTGGGATTTCATGGTTCTGTGGACCATTAAAAGCATGCCGGGCCGTCGGTAAATCTCAAAACCACACACAACGCTGGGAAGGACAATCGCGACGAACACAACACGCATTGCAATTAGGAAGAAAATTGATCACTAGCAGGGAGAGCCAGAACAAAAACAAGCGGGGCTCCGCACTGATTCGTTTCACGTCTGCCAACAATGCAGCCAGTTGAAATCTATGAAGACAGGAAGCGCAGCAATCTGCACAAATATAATCTTGGGATTTTCCTGGTTCTGTGGATGTTGATCAGCAGCCCTACTGCAAGCATTTTCGGGCTGCGGGTGGAAATCAAAACCACAAACAACAAGCAACCCTTCTCAGAACCAAAGTCAAGAGCAACGATTTCCCAGCCGTGCCTGGGGCTTCGTCCATTGTGACACCTCATCCTCACCAAAGTCCTCCACCTCCTCGCGGCTCTTGGCGAGCCAGTCCTGCCAGAATCCACCACAAGGGACTCTGGCGCATGCGAGCCCCGGCCTCCGCGTCGCTGTCCTGGCACGATGGCAACCGGCCACATTTGCAACTGCCGACTATCCTGCTGCGGGCTGGCGCGCAAAGCAACTCCGCCACGCCCAGGGCGCCGGCTTGTCACCTCAAGAGGAGCTGAGAATCCAGGCAGAAGAAAACACGGCGGCGCCCGGGAATCCTGGAGACCAATCCCATTGCACAGAAACACAGGAGGCCTCGGCACTCGGCAAGCGTCCAAACTCGCAAGCTTTGGGTTCGAAGGTCCACCTGAACCAGCGAAAGTGGTCTCATCTGTTTGGGGCTGTGGGCAACTCTCAATGGGCCAGTGCGCTGTTTCTGGCACGGGAGCACAAACATGAACATCAGTGGGGGGTTTTACGGTCCTTCAGCCAAGCTCCTCCGGCAAAGTCGTGCGCGGCAAATGGAGACTCCTGAAAAAACGAAAATCCTTTCGTTTGCAAACGCTGCTCCAGACAATCCCAAGACCCGGGCCGTGCTCGGCCACCGCAGGGAGAGCGCCAGCACAATCCCGAGGAATCTGAGACATGCGCCTGCCGCGGCAAATCGCGGACACCCCAATGTCACAAACCGGCCGGCCTCGGCCTCTCCTCCTGGAACTCGTCGCTGCCATGGCCGTTGCAACACTTGGTGATTCCTCACATCAACTCGATGCGTTGGGAATCCGTTGCCAGCTAGCATGCCTTGCTGATTTGATGAGCACTCGCACACAACGGACGAATCTTTCGCTTCTCAGTGTTGGCCAACATGATCCAACTCTGCGCTGCGGCCAGCAGTGTTGTTGTTTTTGTTTCGCGTTCGGCACAAACTCCGCAATCAAACCTGGGCACAATTGACTCCGGCGGCTTGCTGCTGAGGCACGGGCTGCGTTCCGACAATCTGTCCAAAGGGCTACACGAAGCACCCCATCACAACGCAAGAGCAAATTTCCACACATAGTCACGGAATTCCACGTCCAACACAAAACCATGCGCTAGTTTGGGGGTATAGCCCCAAACTAAAAGTGATCAAAGTCACTGTGGCGCGCAAGGTCGTTGTTCGAAGTTCGGACCGCAATCGATCCAGTTGGAGGCCGAGGCTTCACTTCCCCAAGTTCCCTAAGTTCCCGAAGTCCCCTGGCTTCCTGAGGTCCCCGAGCGGCTGCAAGCGGCGAAAATGGCCAGGCCCAAAGTTCCCTAAGTCTGCAGGGGAATTTGGGGAATTTGGGAAATGAGGGAACTTGGGGGAATTTAGGGAACTTAGGGCTGCTAGCCTAAAAACCCTCGAACCCTTGAAAAACAGTCTCAGCACTCACGTACCTTTTCGAGGCCGCACGCGAAGCCTTGTCAAATGGAGGAGGGGGCGGGCGGGGGCACAATTATTTGGAACACCATCCTTCAAGTGATTTGCGTTGCCATTATTTGCCCTTTGCTCGCTCGACCCCAGCCCCCTCACCAGCCTCCGCCATTACTATTATTCAAATAGTGCAAGGCCAAATGATTTCTTTTGCCAATATTTGGACCCTTACTAGTGGTCAAACAATGAAACACCCAATGATTTCCCTTGCCATTATTTGCCTTCTGCTCGCCGACCCCCCCGCTTGCCATTATTGGCATTCGAATAACGAAGAGCCAAATGATTCCGGTTGACATCGTTTGGAACCCCGATAATGGTCACATAATGAAACCCCAAATGATTTCCTTTACAATTGTACCATCCTTGCTTGTTGCCCCGCTCCCCTCACCAGCCCCCGCCATTACTATTATTCAAATAACGAAGAGCCGAAGGATTTCAGTCGCCATTATTTGGCGCACCGGCCTCCGCCATTAGTATCATTCAAATCCGCCGACCCTTTCTCTAAAAAGGGGAGGCGCACGGGAAGGGTGGTTGGCACATAAACATAACCAAAGATTCATCCTCATCAGCATCATCATCAGCATCAATATCACGATTGTCATCATCATCTCTTTCTTCTAGACATTTCAATTGCATTGGTAATGCAGAGGATGCTGTGATGATACTTATCATGAGGGTCATCGGCAGCATTGGTAATGCCGAGGATGCTACGACGATAGTTATCATGACAGTCATCGTCAGCTTTGGTACTGCAGAGGATGCTACGATGATGGTTATCATGAGAGTCATCATCCTTATCATCTGCTTCATGATTCTCATCACAGTCGTCACCTTCATCATCGTCATCATGATTGTCATCATCATCTCTTTCTTGTATACATTTCAATTGTGGCGTAGGCAGCATTGGTAATGCAGAGGATGCTGTGGTGATGCTTATCATGACAGTCGTCCTCCTTAGCATCGTTATCCGTATGATCATCATGACCTTTGCTCCTGCAGCATTGGTAATGCAGAGGATGCTATCATGACAGTCATCGGCAGCATTGGTAACTACGACGACAGTTGTCATCACAGTCATCCATTCATCCTCCTCAGCCTCATCATCAGCGTCCTTATCACGATTGTCATCCTTGTCTCTTTCTTCTAGACATTTCAATCGCATTGGTAATGCAGAGGATGCTGTGATGATACTTATCATGAGGGTCATCGGCAGCATTGGTAATGCCGAGGATGCTACGAGGATAGTTTTCCTGACAGTCACCGGCAGCTTTGGTACTGCAGAGGATGCTACGATGATAGTTATCATGAGAGTCATCATCCTTATCATCGGCTTCATGATTGTCATCACAGTCGTCACCTTCATCATCGTCATCATGATTGTTGCCAGGAGGCGAGTCAACCACGTAGTCAATGACAAGGCAGTTGGGGTTCGACTCCCGTGGGGTGACCAATACCCTCGACAATGGAGTCGTGTACTAGTGGTCGTTGTAAAAGGGGGGTGTAAGGTAAATGATCTGCGCTGTCTCACGACTCGATGCGACGGCGGAATACGGACCTTTTGCTTTGCTTCACAGCTGTATATTGGATGTTTGTCTCGAATGTGTTATCAAGGTCTTGAGCCAAATGCATTCGCATGCACATGTCGGCTGCACACAAAACACCATTTCCCCCAAAGAAATGAAGGAAAAGAGCCCTTAGGATGTTTTAGCCTGCGGCTCGGAGATTCTTAGCATCCCCCTTCCCGAGCTTGCGTTCATCCCTGGGTCGGGAACCAATCACAAACGCAAGCCGACACGCATGGACGCACGGCTTCTCTTTTTCAAGTCAGTGAAACGTCTCTGCGCGAGTTTGACCAGGTTCTGTAAACTTAACAGGAAATGAGACTGCTACACGTCACGTGCCGGACCTCATGTGCAATGGTGCACATGCAGCAAGCGATCTATAAGGCAATTGTACAGATCCAGTATCCATGACTAGCATAGTCCGTCACCAATTTGTAACCAATACGAATTGTAGCATCGAATAATCGTTGACCACCAAATACCTGGCATCTCACGGGCCGCAGTGACTGCGGCGAGCTCCACGGGGCCGTTGGACTGCGAGAGCCTGGACTGCACCTTCACGGACACGAGCGGCGGCGTGTCGACGGGCAGCGTGGTGTGCGGCGACGCGACGAGCTCGGGCACGGTCTCCGCCCCGCAGCTCTTCGCGTCCAACACGCTCACCGTGACCAACACCTCCGACTTCTCGGACGATCTCTTTTTGACGAAGAACTGGGCGGGCTGGAGCAAGGTCCAGATTTCCAACAACAGCGCGGCCTCCGACAGCGGCCCGGTGCTACGGCTGCTGGGCAACCAGAGCGCGCGGGGTCTTCCTGCAGAGGAACGGCGGGCACCAGCGCGAGCTCATCGGTCTGCGACACCAGCTTCACCGACTTGTCGGACAGCCGGGTCAAGACGGAGATCGCCAAGGCCGACGTGGAGGAGCTGCTGCAGCTCTTCGACTCCGTGGAGGCGAAGCAGTACAAGCGCCCAACATGAACCAGGACCTGAGGCTGGGCTTCGCCTTGGACAACTTTGCAGAAAGGAAGGGCTGGGATCTTTAAGACTTGTGACAGGGATCACATCACTTGCAGAAGCATCAAAAAACTTGTGAAGCATCAGATTGCTTTGTGATGGGGGTTAGATTAACTTGCGGGGGGTCAGATTGACTTGTGGCCGTATCAGGTTAACTGCGGTTGGAACATGAGTTTCAAGCCTCCGCACCTTCGCGGCAGCTGCGCGCCATGATCATCATCAATCATCATCATCATCAGCAGCATCATCATCATCAGCTGTCATTGTCATCATCAACAATGATTTTCATTGTTGCACAAATGAAGATTATCATCATCATCATCATCATCATCAGCAGCATCATCATCAGCTGTCATTGTCATCATCAACAATGATTTTCATTGTTGCACAAATGAAAATTATCATCATCACCACCATCATCACCATCATCATCATCATCCATCCATCACGTACCGTCTTCATCATCATTATCATCATCAGTCGTCATCGTCATCATCCATCATAGTCATCACCTTCTTCCTCGTTGTCGTCATCATCCACCATCAGCATCCTCATCGTCATCCATCGAGACGGTTTTCGCAAATCTATCGTCTACCACCTTCATCATTACCGGAGATGGCGCCGATCCTGCGACGGACGACGATCATGATGATGAGGGATGATGATGACGATGATGATGATGATGAGTCCGTACCATCATGACTGTCATCAGTTGACACGCGGGAGATCGTAACAACTCTCACTATGAAGATTGATGGGTTGATGATGATGGAAGATGATGGTGCGTTACGATCGATGATGATGAGGATGATGAGAACGATCGGCGATGATGATGATGGAGGCTCACAAAGGACGCTGGTGATGGATGAGGAGGATAAATGATGATGATGATGGAGGGTCATGAAGGATGCTGATGATGGATGATGATGACAGCTGATGATGATGGCGATGATGACGGTGATGATGATGCGTGGGCTTGATGGTGATCATGATGACGGACGATGACGATGACGGATGACGAAGGTGATGATGATGAAGATCCTCCGTGCCACGACAAGTATTGTCGTAGCATCCTCTGCACGCCGAGCGCTGCCTAACACACGCACAATGAAACGGACGGAAGATACAGGCTAAGTCTACAATGCCGTTGATGATGACGGATGATGGTGGTGATGGACGATGATGACGCATGATGATGATGATGGTTCATGATAATAATGAGGATGGATCATGATGATGCTGATGATGCATGATGAAAGTGATGATGATGAGGATCATCCTCTGCGCGCCAAGCGTTGCCGTCGTTGGTGATGAGGTGAATGGGAGTCTCGCGGGCCGAGTGCCGCAGCATGGCGTCCCAGGCGGCTCCGGGCAGCGCTGCGCCCGGAAGGAGTCCCGATAGCTCTCCATCACGTCCGCCAGGGCCAGGACGTCGGTGTGGAGCGGAAGGTCTCCCACCCCATGAGATTGGCGGTGTTGACGGCCAGCCGGTAGTCCTCGGCGCTCACCGCTTTCCCAGCCAGCACGCTGTGCTGCTCCCACACCGCAGGCTTCTCCCACGCCTCGGCGCCGCAGAAGTGCTCAAAGGGCATGGGCAGCTTGCGCAGGATGCAGTCCCACGCCTGCTCCAGATCGCAGTGCGTCCGCCGCTGTTTGAGAGGCCGTCTTTGAGGCGGAGAGTCGGTCGGTGTGCGCAGCTGCAGCTCGGGGTGAAGCAAGGCCATCAGCGGGAAGAGCTCAGGCAGCTGCTTGTGGGTGCAGAGGTCGTCGATCATGCTGGGGAAGACGCGACTTGCAGAGGACTCGGAGGCTGAGGTGGCTGTAGTCAGGAAACAACCTTATCCTGCAAAGAATTCAAAACCTAGAACGCTTGTGGAGGCGTGTGGCTGCAACATAACAACTCCTAGGCAGGCGGTTTGGCAAAATGCCCCGCAGCTGTCTTTGTTTCTGCTAGGCAAGCTTCCTCAAAGGAAAACCCTGGCTGGCTTTTTGGCTGGCTTCTAGCTGGCTTCTAGCTGGCTTCTAGCTGGGTTTTGGCTGGGTTTGGTTGGCTTCTGGCTGGTTTGGCTGGGTTTGGTTGGCTTCTGGCTGGGTTTGGTTGGCTCCTGGCTGGCTTCTGGCTGGGCTTTGGCTATCGAAAAAAAGAGGTTTGGCTGGCTTCTAGCTGGCTTCTAGTTGGCTTCTGCTGGTTTGGCTGGCTTCCGCTGGCTTTCTGGTTGGCTGGTTTGGCTAGCTTCTGGCTGGCTTTCTGGCTGGCTTTCTTTTTTCCCTGTTTTTTTAGCTTGCCTTGCAGAAACGCAGCTGCAAGGCATTTTGCAAGCATATCTAGGGGTTGTTATGTTGCAGCTACGCGTCTTCACGCAGCGTTTTTAGGTTTTGAATTCTTTGCAAGACAAGGTCGTTTTCTGGACGGACAAGTGCTAGAAGCCTGTCAGAGATTTGGAAAACCCCCTCTAAAGAGAGAGTCTTTACCTTACGTATAAAGGAACCGCGTAATGCTGGAAGGCAGTTCCGGCGGCTTTTCTGCCGTATATCCTTTCTACGTGGTTGAGTACATTCAGCTGGAAGCTTGGCGGACAGCGTCCCACGGGACGTCATCTTGCGCTCTTGACACTTGTTGACCATTTTGCCATACACACCAGCAGCAAATTTTGGCTCTTTCCGCAGGGCTTGGCCCCCTTACTGGTTCGGCGCAAGTTGAACATTTGTTTGGCAGCCTTTGTGGTTGGAGTTCGTGCGATGGTTCGTTTACGGAGGAACGTCTTCAGCTCTTCCTTCGCTGGCTGGTGATGAATCATGAAATATTCTGCTTATGGAAAAAAGGGCGCGGGCCTATCTCTGGGAGCATTTTAAGACGTTGGCCCTGCGTTCTGAGAGTTTGTTTCCCAAAGCAAGGTGCGTGACCAGAATACAATGAGGACTGTGTGCCAAATCGGTTTCCCGAACTGGCACCAAGCCCGCCCGCGTGCACAACATCTCGACGTCACGACTCGGCAACTCTCACACAGTGAACTGTGAAAAACAATGTGAAGCAGTAAGCCGGTGTGCTCAGTTTTTTCTTTTTGCGGGAATCAACAAGATTATGTGCCGAAAGGGCAGCAGGCTGCGCACGAACGCAGTCTGTTGCCTACGGGCATGCCATTCTCGTTGGATTGACGGCGCGCTCCTACTCCAAAATGCCAAGCCTCTCTTTGCCGGTCTGTGCGGGGAGGGCCAGCACCAACGCCACATCCGACCAAAAAACGGCCGGCCACGAAACAAGATGGCAAGCTGGGTCGAGACAGCAGCAACAAATCACAGACGCGGCGGATGGCGGCGCGCGGGCTCGCGCGACGGCGGATGGCTCCATCGTGCTGAGCCTGCGGCGCGGCCCGGGGGCCTACGGGCTGCTCTCGCGAGTGGACAAGCAGCTGACCCGCGAGCCGGGACTTCGACTACAACCAGCCGCTGATCCGCGAGAGACCCCAACGACTACATCCTGCTGCGGCACCGGTAGAAGAAGCTCGTTCATAGTTCGAAATCAGTCACGCATGAGAGGAACCGGGTCGTCACTCACACCCGACTCAATGACGAACAGTGCAACGGCCGGCCCGTGTAAAGAAACTACTGTGGGCGAGACAAGGCGCAAGACAATTCATGTTGATGGCTCCCAATACTGACACATGCCAAGCACAAGAATAAATGGAGCCTGCGCCACGCCAAACACAAATTTAATACACTAGCTGGCGCAGTCTCATATTGTCGATCCATCCATCTGGTGTGTGAAGAGGTCAAGTTAAGGGCCCACCTGAGCATGTGACAGAAGCCTGGCAAACCTTCTGAGCTGAGCGCAGAGAAAGACACCCACCGGGAGCACGGTCACAGCACAATAGAAAGGGGAGCTCTTGGTCTTCGTCAAGACACTCTTGGCAGCCTCGATGGAGTCGCACTCGGAAGCTGCGGGCAGGCCGGGCTCAACGCAAATCCTTGCCAGGATTTGCAGGCGGCACATGTCCTCCAACAGGTTCGACTTGTCTGGGGCAACCTTGTCAATGATGTTGGAGGCTCTGAACGCCTTGATGAAGCTCCACAGCTGGTTGGCAGAGGCAGTCATGGCTTGAACCTGATCTCCTTGGCCCGCATCCTCCTGACCACGAATGCCGACGCTTTGCATCAAGTGATGCACCCAACTTGGAAGTCATGGCACATGTCATCAACCTTGTCGCTGGGAGTCTCCGCTGGCAGAATTGAGGCAGAGCCTCGCAGGTCCAAGAATGTGAAAACTTGTTCCCACGCACTTTGCTGCACAGGCGGCGCCTGCCACGTTGCGTTCCAGGGCAGCGGCAATTGGTGACCTTGGGGTGAAGTTGCCCCCCAACGTAATTCCAGCCAAGGTTGTAGCACAGTCCTTGAGGTTCTGCCAAATCACGGCTGCTCTGCAAGAGGTGCCTTCCCGGCGGATGGTCTCAGACAGAAGCTTAGTCGAGTCCTCCGAGAGACGGGCTTCAACCTTGTCCTTCATGGCTGACGCTTTGGACACGGTCACGCCCATGATCTGTCGGGAGTCCTCCAGAGCGTTCTTCATCTGCTGAGCCAAGAGAATGATGGTCTCGCTCTTGTCAAGCTCCCGGGATTCTGCAGCAGCAACCTTGCCGGCTCTGCCTCTGGTTGCAACACCAGCGGTCAAAGAAAGTGCCCACATAGAAGCGTCAGCATCAGCATCGCCACCGGCCGCTGATGAAGTTCCAGATGGCAGGTCGCCCCCCTCCTTCTTGGGCGCTTTGTTCCGCGACTTCTTCGACTTATGGCGAGTACCACGAGTAGCAGCCGACTCATCACCACTGGACACACCGCCCCTGTCATGAACGGACGCCTTGCAGGAAGAGCTGGCAGGACCATCGCCCCAGAGAAGCATCTGCATCTCCAGCGTCAGCCTCCCCTTCCTGGTCCGAGTCATCCCGGCCCGTCTCCACAACACGCTTGGCAGTTTTGGAAGATGTTGAGGCCAATTCAATGGCGCCCACAACGTTCTCAACCAACACAGCGCCCTGCACTGGAGCGCCTTGGTGCTGAATGACTTGAAGCTTCTTTGGGATTGGCTTCCCATGCGCCTTCAACAAGGCCACAGGCCACAGGAAGCCCACGACCTGTTTGGTCTCGAAGCTGCTCGCTGTCTCAGCGTAGGTCGCGTTCTCACCCTCTCTGCCATAGGTCAATGCCCATGAATCCGAAAGGCCTGCATGCAAAAAACTGACCCTATTACTGGTTTTGGTAGCCCAACAGATTCCGCGCAGCTCTCTCTTTAGAGGGGGTTTCCCAAATGGATTCTATTCTACCTGAGAGGCTCCTAGCACTCGTCCGTCCAGGAAACGACCTCGTCCTGCGAAGGATTCGAAACCTAAAACGCTGCGTGGAGGCGTGTGGCTGCAAAATAATGACCCCTAGAATTGCTTGCAATTTGGCTCCAGGTTGCATTTTAAGCGAGCCAACCTTTGCAGGGCTAAGAAAAAAAAGGAAAAAAGGGGTCCCAAAAAAGGGGCCCCAAAAAAACGGGAAAAGGGTTTTCCTTTGGCAAAGCTTGACATCGCTTGAAATGCAACCTGGAGCCAAATTGCTGCGCATATCTAGGGGTCATTATTTTGCAGCCACACGCCTCCACGCAGCGTTTTAGGTTTCGGATCCTTTGCAGGACAAGGTCGTTTCCTGGACGGACGAGTGCTAGGAGCCTCTCAGGTAGAATAGAATCCATTTGAAAAACCCCTCTAAGTGCAAAGAAGCGTGCTCTGCAAAGAAGTGTGCTCTGCAAAGAAGCGTGCTCTGCAAAGAAGCGTGCTCTGCAGAGGAGAGTGCTCTGCAAAGGAGAGTGCTCTGCAAAGAAGCGTGCTCTGCAAAGAAGCGTGCTCTGCAAAGAAGAGTGCTCTGTGCAGCAAAAGAAGTGCTCTGCAAAGAAAGTGCAAAGAAGTGCTCTGCTCTGCAAAGGAGAGTGCTCTGCAAAGAAGCGTGCTCTGCAAAGGAGCGCGCTCTGCAAAGGAGCGTGCTCTGCCGCGTGGAGTTCCGCTGCAGACTGCGCCGCGCGAAGACACACAACTAGAGAAATCAATGAGTCAGCTTCGGCGGGTGAGTCAGCTTCGGGCGCGAAGTCAAATATTTTCTGTTTGTGAAGACACACAACTAGAGAAATAAATGAGTCAGCTTCGGTGAGTCAGCTTCGGTGAGTCAGCTTCGGTGAGTCAGCTTCGGTGAGTCAGCTTCGGGCGCGGTGAAGACAGAGCACGCTTCTTTAAGTGCGCAAAAGCGGCCAAGTTCCCGAGTTCCAGAGGACTTCGTTCTTGGCAAGTTTGAGTGTCCACTTGCGCCGAGGTGTAGTAGGCCAGCAGCGCAGCCGAGATGGCGCTGGTCGTCTCCGCGTCCTGCGCCGCTCCTGTTCGGTAGTCGACCAACAGCGCGTCCACTTGCGAGGAGGTGTAGTAGGCCAGCAGCGCAGCCGCGAGGGCCGCGTCCGCCGCTGCGGTGGAGTAGCAGTCGGCCATGATGCTCAGCGTGTCGTCGCCGTTGGCCAGCGCAGCAGAGAGAGGAGCCTCCAGATGCAGGCTGCGAACGACGTTGCTTCCGCGAACGAGCTCCCAAGTCGTGAAGCCCGCCCAGGCCGGCGCGTTAACAACTCCGCCGCTGCCGGAAAGCTGCGGGGCGGCGAGCTCCGCGAGGATTGCGTCGAGGGCGCTCTGGAGCGCGGTCTTGCTGGCTGAGAGCGCGGCGTTCGTGGCGTACGAGGCCAGCAGCGACGTGTCGGCCTTGGCCCCCTGGAGCGCCGAGATGCTGGCATCCCGGCTAGCAAGCTGCGCTGCGACGAAGGCGCCGTGGTGACGTCCAGGAGGGCGGCCGCTATCTTAGAGTCCACCTCAGAGGAAGTGTCGACGGCCGACCGCAGGGCGTACGCGGTCAGGGCGCTGGCGTCCGCCTTGGAGGCCTGCAGCCCCGTGATGGAGGCGTCTCGACTTGCGAGCTCGGAGGCCAGCACGGTGACGACTCCCAGGAGAGTTGGCCACCTTAGTGTCGACCTCCAGCGGCGTGATCCTTGCCGATGTCGAGGGAGCGCTGGTCCACCGTCTTGAGGCCGTAGTTGGCTGCCACCGTGGCCAGCGTGGCGTTGTTGACCGAGGCGATGGAGCCGTTCATGGCCGCCGTGGTGCTGTAGTTCGACAGCTTCAGGTCCACGCTGTCGGGGGTGCTCTTCGTAGCCACCACGCCCTCCAGCACGTCGAAGGCCGACTGGTCAGCCTTGTGGTCAGCGCGCTGCGATGCTGCTGCCGTGGCCAGGGCTGCTGCCGTGGCTAGAGGAGCGATTGCCGGCGCCAGTGCGCTGCTGTCCAGCTTCGAGGCCAGCTCTGCGGTGACTCGGTCGTCCAGGGACTGAACGGCGGCTGCGTTGTTGCTGGAGGCTGCCGTGTTCACGGCCAGGTCTGTTACTTGAGCGTAGGGCGTCAGAGCGAGGGCTAGCTGCCCTGCAGTGACGTGCGTGCCGTCAGTTACCTCTCCGTTGTCCAGGACCTCCGGGATGTTGCCCGTGACAGGTCCTTCAAACATGTTTTCTTAGGAGTAACCAAAGTCTGGTCGTGTGTTACGTATTTTGGACCATACATGAATTGAGGGAAAATATCCTTCAATTCAAGTTCCCGGGTCCAGGTCGTGATACCTGCGCACGCTCGAAAACTTCGGGACAGATCGCAAAAAAAATCGTCCACAACGGCCTGATGGGTTTTCGGGCAAAATCGATGGAGTCAAGACAGTGGTTATGTCTCTGCACCACCCCTGATTCCCACCTGCGACCGGGCATTAATGAACCAACCTTGCCCATTGATGAATCAACCCGTTCCATTATTGACCTGCCCGGCATAGAAGCTTCTGCTGCGCCACCTGTCCGGCATTGGAGCCACGTCAGCCCGTCGAGTCATACGAATCACAATACTAGCTTGCCCAACGTGGAGGGAGGCTTCAATACCTAGCGCGCTACATTTCTGCCCGGCGTAGAAGCCTCCAGCCTGGCGCGCCACCTGCCCAGCATTGGAGCCCCAACCTGCCAAGCCCGCGCCATCCAAGAATTCCGACTTTGCTCTTCCACCGGTCGCAATTCCGACCTTGCTTTTTTGCCCGAAAAACCCATCACCGGCAGCGCTAAAGGTCTGTCAGTGCCGGGCCATTGACAGAGTGTTTTTTTCACCATTCACTTGCCAGGATTGCTGCTGTGGCAACAGGATTGCTCCACCCATTCCAACTCTGACAACAGAATTGCCCCGGTGCACCACTAACTGTTCTTGCCCAAGCTTAGACTTGTGATGGAGTTGGCCGGCTGTAGAGCCGGACTTGCCGCACACTGCTCAGTGCCAGTGGCCTTTGCTGTGCAAAGAAGTCCCACTTTCCCAAGAAGCTGTTGCGCAGTAGAACGTATAAGCAGGCGGCCCGACGCCCGGCACGGCCTCTCTAAGTGCCCGGCAGAAGAAGGTGCCCGAAGTAGAAGCGCCTGTCCACCCTGCCCCCACCAGGCCCTTACCCAAATGGATTCTATTCTGGCTTCTAGCACTTGTCCGTCCAGGAAACGACCTTGTCCTGCAAAGGATTTAAAGTTTAAAACGCTGCGCGCAGGCGTGTGGTGTGGCTGCAACATAACGACCCCTAGATATGCTTGCAATTTGCCTTGTAGCTGCGTTTCTGCAAGGCAAGCGAAAAAAAAGGGTCCAAGTCAGCCAAACCAGCCAAACCAGCCAGAAGCCAAGCCAAACCAGAAAGCCAGCTAGAAGCCAGCCAGAAAGCCAGCCAACCCTCCAGCCAGAAGCCAGCCAGAAAGCCATCCAGCGTCTTTTTTTGATAGCCAGAAGCCAGCCAAACCAGCCAGAAAGCCAACCAGAAAAGCCAAGCCAAACCAGCCAGAAAGCCAGCCAAACCAGCCAGAAAGCCAGCCAGAAACCAGCCAGAAAGCCAGCCAGAAGCCAGCCAGAAAGCAATCCAGCCTCTTTTTTTGATAGCCAGAAGCCAGCCAAAAAGCAAGCCAGCCAAAAAGCCAGCCAGCCAAAAAGCCAGCCAGCCAAAAAGCCAGCCAGCTAAAAAGCCAGCCAAGAGCCCTTTTAAGGGTGCTCGCCTTGCTCTCACACGCTTTCGTCTTGGGCAGGTTGCGCCGGCCATTGGCGAACGCAACTGCCCTGTTCCATGTCCGAGTGTACATTAACTGGATGACTATTGCATCCGCGAGAAAAGGATCCAGGCCAGAGAGAGGGGGCAGACCCAAACAAAGAACCAAACACACAACACAACACAGCACAAAGGAAAACAAACAGAACCCTCATCCCCGGCCACGGACGAGACGATAATAATTGATCCGATGCAGTTTCGCTCTGAAATCGAGATCTTCCGGCTCTGGGCAAACTTGCCTACATGGCAGGCTGAGATGCGTGCTAGTTGCCGGTTTCCCTTTCTGGGAAGAGAAATATTGATACAAGATTTCGTGTGTCTGTTGAAGGAATGGCAAGGCCGGGCGGATCCGGAAGCCATTTGCCTTGAAATAGATGCCAAAATGGCTGGTGTTGCATTTCTCCTGCCCATACTTCCATGGGAGCAGATCCTGTCGAAGCACTTTTCCAAGTGTACTGATTGCATTCCGAAAAGACCATGCCTCAGCCCCGAGTGTGCGAGATGGCATCGCATAAATGGTGTGCACACCTGGAGTGAGATACAATTCATAACCCTTTTTAGGGTCCGGCACTGGGATTTCGATACCACTGTGCAGGCGGAAAGAGACTAGCAGTTCTATCCAGGTCACGTGTATGTCTGGCGATTCTGATTCTGGCCAAGAAATTTCTCTCAACCAGGTCATCAGGTGCTTATTGAAAGTCGTACCCCAAGGCGATGCGGTCTCCAATCATCCGTGTCCGGCCACTGGAAAAAGGGGTTGCTTTGGTGGTAGCTGACATTCAGGTCACTAGGTGGGTCCTGGTTTACAGCGTTAGACGTCGGTTTTTCGGCGATTCTAAGCTGCATATATTCTCTGAGTGCGCTAGCAATGCCACTGTAGAGCTTTGGCCAGTATTCTTCATCCTCTGGGAGCTGGAGCGCAGGTTGGCCCCGGCCCAAGAGTGCGGCGGCCTTTGCTGCGGCATCTGCACTGTCGTTTCCGAAAGAGTGGAATGCAGTAGTTCCGGATCCTATCGGCGACACATGGCTCTTTACCTTAGTAAGTCGAATTTC